GGATTCCCAGCACGCGATTTTTATTCGGGGAATAACAGAAGAATCTATTTGCGTTCAAACATGAATAAAATACAGGGAAACACTAGGAAATGCGTATAACGTTTAGATAGAAGCTTTATATTGTATGTCTTTGAAAAATATAGGAATAAATAATATGATGAACCTACATAACTAGGTCTCCATCTAAGTTGTGGATAAAGGTAATCTGCTGAGATCAGATAGACAGTTCAATACACTCTTATCACTCTACCTAAATGGTTTTCTTCTTTCTTGCCTTAAGTGCGGCTTTCAGTGACTAAAACCACCCCTGCCTCCCTTTTCCTGCTCTAGTCCAGACCCGCAACCTGGACTCAAAAGGTTGAGCCTATAAACCGCAGCAAGCGTTTAACACTATAGGCACTATTAAAAAATATTTTAAGATATAAATATATACACACTCAATAATAAAATTCAGGTCAATACGTTATAACAAAGCTAGTAAAATCACTTAGATAATAACTACACCTTATAACAAGCAAGTTCTGCGAGTACACATAGGTATTTATGGACAATTATTATGTACAAATATTATAATAACTTGAACGTATGTTTGTCTATTGGCCAGTTGAAAAGGTCATGGTTGAAAAACAATCTACTTTTGAATAATAATAGTGCTGATAATTGTTTTTATCTTTCTCAAGAAAAGAAGTTGGAGTTATATTGATCGCAGGCCTTTTTTGGGTTATACATATTCGCATTTATAATAATTAAATCTAGCAAAAGTTTTTTCAACCATCCTGCTATGCCCAGGACGTCATAAAACATATGTATACGCCATGATGTAGATCAAACATGCGACAATGAGGTTAAGCCAATATTATTTTATTCCTTACGGGAACCGAGCCCACGACACGTTGTTCATAGCCAACTTCTGTTGATCTTTTGGTTACAATATTTTAATGTATGTATATCTTCTTTTAAATTTTAATATAGATGTTTAAAACAGTTCATTTAAACTGGACGAATGAGATATACCGACATAATATAATGTCGTCCGTCTTCCAGCTGGTCATTCAATACCTCAAATATAACATTACTGTATAAAGAGTACGTCAAATTACTGATTGCAGTGTCGACTTTTATCCAAATTATTATGCAGATATAGGATAGTTTTATACCAAAAATCGTCAGTACCTAAGTCACTAATCCACGCGAACGGAGTCGCGGGCGAAAGCTAGTCTTAATTCTCGCGTCACAATGTTAGTTATCTTACTTCTTCGAAACTGATTTTTAATAAATTTTAAATGCTTTTTCTGTAGGTCTGAGCTACAGCTACTGGCTATTTTTCTTACCCCTAAGTGATAAATAATTTATATGGTAAAATAACTTTTGCCTGGTCAGCTATTATTTGATACTTTCAACTATATAGTTTGGTTTAAAAACCTGATGGTACTCTGGTCTGTCCTAAAAAGAAGTCGGTTTCCTTATAGGTCGAGAGGTTGCGAGATTTGACTAGTGAGTTTTGTGATCGACAAGATACTATTTAGCTGTGTTGTTATGATCTCTAGGTACAGTACGAGTTTCTTGCTCGTTCTTCTCCATCGGAATCGACACTTTGGAACGAGCAAATATCTTTATTAAGAGGACTGACCGACAGACTGACCGATCTTCAAAATTTTGTTCAAAAGTGCCTTTAAGGGTTACCTTTGATTTTCGAGTTTTAACAAATTCACCACAATCATTTCATGATGAAAAAGTAATAAAGTTCATCGGTTATATTTTCCTTTATGTTTCTGCCATTGTTAAACAATATACCTAGATTCTGCTCAACACCAGACATAATTTAAAAAAAAATCATTGTCAACAAATAACCTCCTTCTTTAACTTCCCTAACATCCATAAACCCTAACATATCCCAATTTATTTAGACATTCAACAAGACTCAAAATTTCTGTTCTGAGGTCTAGTTAAACTGTAGCCACATTATCTTATTACGCTAAGATACCGGAGGACGCCAGTTAGTCGGCAGCGGATGTCGTCTCACTGCCGGCCTTGCCCGTTCCATGTGACGAGACGAGACGATCGAGGTCCATGATGTGATGAGTATCTGGATTTCTCTTATTAGGTTGATGGCCATGAATCATTTCTTTTTGTTCATTGTAAGAAGTGGAGTTAAGTGTTATAATGGCATATTGATGTGTAGGTACAGATATTGTTGTAATAACAGGTGAATTCAGTGTCGTATCGTATCTTAAATTCATTCGCTTCTTATAGCTTGAAGGGTACTTGTAGTTCATTACCCTTAGTACTTTTATTTATGTGATTAATCAGTAATGCATAAATGCATTGTAAAAAGTGATAGAAAAATTTTTTGCTTGACGTTCAAAAGTGCCTTTTTTTGGTCTATTTGAAATAAAGAATTTGATTTGATTGATTTGATTTGAATGTCTTTACTAAAAGTCTCTCCTTGTGTAAGGCTTGTGAGACAATGAACCATTTCAAATTAAAAAACTTAATTTAAGAGAGATTAAAAATGATTCCTTCCGTAACGTTGTAAATTATAAACAGATAGCAACACAGCGCAAGCAAAACAAAAGTTAAACTTTCTAGCAACAGGAAAACAAAACGATTACTGTTAAAACATTTTCAAAAAAGAAATTGTTGTTTGCAAAAAGAACGTCTACCTTCACTTCGAAACTAACCGAAGATTACTTAGAAGCTTCCTAAAGGTGCACGATAGGTACCTATGTCTAGATTCACATGTAGGTAACCTACAGTACCAAAGGCCAGCCTTGAGAATGGAATGCCTAGCTCTAATCTACCTGACACTTCAGTACCTATAATCGCACATAAGGCTACATCGATTCCGTCAAATTCTTACAAGAGAATCTCGACCTTATTCTGAATCACAATAACATTGAAATTGTACTAAAATAAGTCGACAAATTCGCTTTTACATAGCTGTATCTACATCGGTGTCAGACACATCAAGACACATACAGACGAAGCCCAAAGAATGGAAATAAAAATAAAAGAAGTTGTGTCAATATTTAAATAAGTATTCTCTGAGAGCATACTATTGTAATGCCACAAGATTTCATATATTTTTAAACAAATCAGTCAAGTCTTATCGCCTCTACACGTAGAATAGAGTTAAATTGTTGTGAATACTGAGAGAAAAGATAAAGTTAAAATTGTTTCGAACACACTAATAGACAGATTTGAAATATTCATTTTCTTTCTGATTAATCTTCTTTTTGAAAATAGCCGTTTTTTATAATATACGATGGGACAGGAACAAGGCAAAAACAAGGCAAAACTTAAATAAGGACTTGTTTCATGGATAACAGATCCCAAAGCAAGGGTTCTTTTACAATGGGTGTCCCTGCGACCTAGCAATACCCAGACCATTCGATGTCCCATCTTTTGGTCGTGTAAACAAAAGTGACCTTTAATAAAACGAAATAAATGTTCTATTTGTTTTATACATTTAACCAGCCTCTCTCCAATACTGTTCTATTGTTTCATTTGTAAACACGGTGTTTTAGTACGGTTATTTATGTGATTCTCGTACAAGAATGTAAATATTTTGTATTTTTTTAATAGATACCTACTACCTCTTCTTTATTCTCTTTCCAGACTTTTCTATGGTTATGTATGAAATATTCATATCATCCGTCTCCATAGGGGTAATATCAGCAAAGTGGGATTAAACATGTTTTTCTGACAGCTATTACATTATATGAAAGTAATATAAATATTGCGATGTAGGCGCCACCTGATATGCATGTGGATGGGCAGTAAGCAATAACAAGTCCTCCCACAACATACTTATCGTGTAATGATAACAACAAAGAATATTGTTGTCATCAAATACCAACATACATTTGTGAACTGCACTGTCTGGTTTGAGAACAATAACTTTATTATTGGGGGCTTAAGGAACATAAACTTAAAGTATAAAAATCGGCAATTAATTTGAAAGATATATGTAATAAAAAAGAAAGCAAAATTATATGGACCTAAATGAGCTCCTTGAAGCATTCCACGTTTATGTCGACTATAAAAGTGCAATTAAATAGTTTTGTTTCATAAGCTTTAATGACAGTGCAATTAATCAATAAATTTACTACAGTAATGTTATTTAATTTTTTATAACATTCGTAGAAAATCATTCATTTATCTTGTCGAAAGCTTTTGCGAAAACTAAAAACAATTTAGTACTATTAACATAAAATTGAGAAAAATATGAGTTCGACAGTGAGTGAGTTTTCTGTGGTAAACTAAACTAACTAGGTTCAGTTATAGCTTCTCCAAACTGAACAACACTTTAGGATGAGTCAAACTCGAAATAAGAAACGAAAAAAAAAACCAAGCACCTACTTAGAAAAATAGACAATCAATTAATTCCTTCTAGGAAATAATACCACATTCGTCAATCACCGAGAAAGACCTTCAATGCTTATTATTATTTTACAATTTTCCTTAACATTAAATGTAATTATTTAGATCGTACCAACATACAATGATCCAAAGAATACTCCTCATAATTTTAACTGTCAAAATTATCACTCCATAGAACTACCCACCCGCATGACAATACTGGCTGTAAATTTATTTGTTGTGGCTTAAAAATAAATAAAAAGGACAAAGGTATTTTAGTAAGTGTTGATAATACAGTTAATTAGTACCGAATAAATGATTCGATTTTTAATTTTAACATTAATAAATAATCGGTTCCTCGTAATGTAAATATGTTATGATAAAATTATATTATTGTAAGTCTGGCTCCCTGCCAGCTCTTTGTTTGTCTGCCACAAGGAAACATTTGATAACATTTATTTATATTAGCTTTATCGCCATAAACTCAATTTCTGTTATAACAAATATAACATCCGCTAGGTTTTAACTAGGCAGGTAGGTATACACTATACATATAACAAACAGAAAAATATATCAGTTATGTAAAAAAAAACAATAAATATTTTAATAATTTCTGAAATAAAATAAAAATAACTCACGTTAAATAGAGAAAATCTCCCGTTGAACATTTTCACAATAAAAAAATCACTGTTATTTATACACACAGCACATAATCTGCAGTTAAATCACTAACTTTCGTTCATTATTGGAATCTAAAATATGTGCCGTTTCCGCGCCATCGCACACCCGAGCGCATCTCTCACTTGCACAATAAAATATTGCCCGAACTCGGAACACTGGAACACTCCACGTAAATATTAATTTTTAATACACTTGACACTTTGGTAGCGGAGTAGCGGCGAACATGCAGCTATTCTAATTCCGAGCGACATCAACTTGGCAAAACTACACACAAAAGTAAACTATTCAGTTACATATTTCTAACTATAAGCATAGCGCGATATCGCGCCGCGGTTGTGGACAAGGACGGAATACAAAAACGCGGCCCTTTTACGATGTATTGGAAAGAGACGGTTATATTTTCTTAGCACTGCGTCGGTATCCGGTATTCCCGTTCGAGATTTTTGTGTAGAGAGGTGTAGCGTGTAGCCGTGTAGGATTGATAACGTGCGCGCTGCGCGCTGGCGGCCGCGCGGTGGTCACTGCGCCGGCCAAACTCCGGCCTGACCTTTATAGGATAATATACTTCGGTTAACATTAACTGATCGAGGAGATCCATTGTTAGCGACAACCCCGCTTCGACTGACACTTTATTTAATTTACTACCATAAACAGTAGCTGTAGCTCGGACAATGGATACGGTGAAAGTACAAATAAGATTGAAATAAAAGTATTTACAAAACGTTTTGAACGCAGTACACGCCTCACTGGTCCTATAGAGTATCTATTTCCTAGACGCTGGGACATAGCGGATGCACTGTTTAACATTCTTATCTGTCAGATAACGCTCTTAATATAGTTCCAAGTAGGCAGATATATATAAATAAACTCAGAAAATAAATATTCTATAAAAACATGACGGTAGCGGATGCGTCATCTGATGTTTTCCTGCAGGTAACGTAGGTACTTGAAGTACTTGCTTAGCTATGTGGTTACTGTCACTGAGAATTATTAAATCATAGATATTCTAGTTACAGCTTAGTACACAAAGGGCCAATCACCCCACCCCAGCACTTGATGTTTTGCAATACTGACGTACTAATATAATTTGCTACAGTAATTTTGATTAAAATATTTGCACGGTGAATGCAAAATGCATTCACCAATCCTAGCTCGTTTACCTTTTCTACTTATTCAGTTGTATAGTTGCATATTGTGTCGTTTTCCAATTTTAAAATAAGTTAGACACCATAGTCCTTGTTGTTGTAAGTCTTGAAAATAAAATTATACAAACGGGGTGATTAATGCTCAAACCTTCTTCGTATGAGAAGAGGCATTTGCTCATCAGTAGCCACCTAATGTTTATTGATATGTGAGTGATATATAATTTTACTACATCTAATATTTAGATTACATAAGTACATAATTCCCTCTATAGGTATATACATACTTAGTTTTTTTTCAATCGAAAGCTTAAATCTTGCCTCACAGAGTCAGCGCTTGCCAAAAATACTAATTAACTATGTTCCATTCAGCAATGGCAGTTAAATAACAGGGAATAAATTAATATTTTCCTCGTATATTAAGTGTGAAGCAATATTTCAAAAACATAGTTAAGTCAGCCGCTGCCCACGTGAAGTGTTGAATTACATTTTCAATCATAATAAAAATTGTGTGTAAAAAACTTTGCAACGTATACACAAACATATCAAATTCAGCCTTGTTGCCTAGTCGTCAAATGTCAAGAATTCCACACATTTTTTTTCACAGGAATGTTTAAATCTGTTTGAGATCCTACAATCTACTATCGCGCTGTGGTTCTAATGGTCGAATTAAAGATTTGATTGAATTGCAATTACATTCTTTATAAACTCAACGTCTCGTATTCGATTTTGGAAATAAGCAAAGTACCTACTTGTAAGGTAAAATTTGTAAGTTTGTATGTAGGGGATAATCTTTAAACCGCTGGTCGGATTGCCATAATTCTTTCACTGATAAATAGCTACAATGTTCCCGAGTGCTATAGGCTATAAAACATCACGCTACAATCAAATGGAGACGAGCAGCGGGTGAAACCGCGTGAGAGTACTTGATATAAGTTCCTAGTTCACAAACTAATATAAATGACAATAACCAATAGGTATTAATGTTTTTCTATTGAATGAAACATTTTCCTCCACGGATAATAATTAAAATAGCAGTACCGGCACTCACAATGTAAACCTTATTATCCCACTTCCTACCAATATTATAAATATACGAAAGTGTATAATGATTTAAGGTTTTTAATTGTTAACGCAAAAAATACTAAACGGGATTTAAGGTTGCAAGTCGGCAAATGAGCTCATGGATTATCTGATGGTAAGCAATGGGCCGCCCATGACACTGAATAATAACAAGTCCGTTGCCTTGGGTTGAGGAATATCGTGATTAGGGATCGGGAATTCGGACTATGATTCTAATCTAATGAATCTAATAGCGAAACTTATCACAAGCGTTTTCTCACGCCTATTTTTCCGTGAGGCCGTGGTATCACTTTTTTTATGTAATAAGTCGGCAAACGAGCAGACGGATTACCTGATGGTAAGCAATCAACGCCGCCCATGGACACCCGCAACGGAGGTATTACGAGTGCGTTGCCGACCTTTTAGGGATTAGGGATTGGGGAAGGGTCCGGGAAGGGAAAGGATTGGGCCTCCGGTAACGTCACTCACACGGCGAAACACAACGCTGTGGTTGTTTCACGCCGGTTTTCTGTGAGGCCGTGGTATCACTCCGGTCGAGCCGACCCATTCGTGCCGAAGCATGGCTCTCCTTCACTCGGGTCAAGTAGTCCTATTCATGTCTCTCTCACACTTTTATTCCAATAACATGGACAGAACCGCTAGCGGAAGCTAGTTAGGCTATATAAATATACAGTGTTAATAAGTAACATATAAATGTCACATATAATTAGCGGTACCTACACGTATAACAATGACACACTTCCGTTCGTCCGGTGGCTCGTGGTTCATGGCCCGTGGCTTCATTATTTATCACAGCTCTGATTAATATGACGGCTTACTAAGTAACTACTTAACTATGTACGACAGTTGACACGGTGACTGGGCAACCGACTGCCGTGCAACTGGCTACTAGATTGCAATTATAAGATATTCTTCATATTTTAATTTCATTTTATATTTATGTTGCTTTATTAAATAGGTGGACTTAATATCACTGGCATTTTTAACAGACAAACTTTGATTAGTGTGGAGAAACTATGGTAGATGCAATGACAAAGGTATACGTTGTATATTGTATGTCGATGACCTGATGGTAAGCAATCGGGGCCGCCCATGAACTCCCGCATCACCAGAGGTATGCTTTGCCTGACTGTTAGTTTTAGGGTTTCGGAGATTTAGGGATTGGGGAGAGATGTGGAAAAGGAAGAATTGAGCCTCCGGTAACCCGACTCATACAGCGAAATACATCGCTGCGGTTTCACGACGGTTTTTGCAAAGCCGTATATCACTCCGGTCGAGCTGACCCATTCGTGCCGAAGCTTAGTTCGCTTTGAAATCAATCATATTAAACTAAAGCACACGGGAATCTTACCCACACACATCCATAGCAAAGCAAAGCTGATTGTTGTGTAAAAATAGAAATATGATCGAAATCGTTTCATGACTTCAACCCCATTTTATGATGTGCCAATAATCTATACCTAAGCCCGCACGATGGACCTGTAATTTAATGCGCGCGTAACTTAGCGCCTGAATTTAAGTAAAAATTGTACTAGTTTGTAACTGAATGCTTCAATTTTTTGGCAGGCGTCTATTTAATGGATTTTTTGTAGATACCACTAGTTTCCTGAGAGTATGTTACCGTTGTTGAACTTTATTTTTTATATTTATATACTACTAGTGTAATGTCATAAACTTGATAAGTATTACGGAACTATATAAGGTACCTATATTATTTTTTCAATTTGGTATATTTGGTAATTGAACAAGTTTGAGAGACCTTACCAAACTTTATATTGTTTGTAGGGAGTGTGAGCTGATCAAATACTTTAATGAGGTGCATTGACAACACGTCGACGTTAAAATTCTTATACAATTGAGTTTTTTTTTTTGTAAAGATACATCGGATAAGTCGGTAAGAATAAGTATTTCTAAAGGCTGCATCAAGAAGTTCACGGCGAGACTAAGTTCATCTCTCACACACACAATAAGAAAATCAAGCTGAAACCAAAATAATACGCAATCGTGTAATTGAAAAGGCACAAAAGAAACTACATTGATTACAAAGATTCTGTCAGTATGACGTCACAGCCTAACGAGAGCTTAGGAAAATACAGAAAACCTATAAAGAACGCAATCACACTTGACACAAATATCGCGTATAGTAATTAGGTGCGCAGGCGTCGATTTCACGGTACAGGCTTATCCGCTAGGGCTGCGGCCGTTAAAGTTTTATCAACATTCGATAAAGTGTTCGATCGGCGCGCGCTATATGTGGGTCGCTGGCTACCTGCCACTCTTTGCCTGTGTCGCAGGCATAACACCATGTTGGGTTATCGTGGAATTACTAAAGTAATAACTAGTGCACTCACTTATTAACAATAACGTACAAGTTTTTGGAAAATTGCCTGAAAAACCAGGGAGTGTCAAGCTATTACTTACTAAAACTAACTGTTCTTTCTCCCGCTTCAAGGTTGCACCCGCAAATCCATTTGAAAATCGTCGGGTTGCGGTCTCGTGTTTTCGAGCGGCAAGTTACCCTTCATCGCCATCCGCAAACCCGCTTTTACGGTGACCGGAAATCGTCTCGCGATCCACAACGGCTGAAGCGTCTCCGGCGGTGGCTGGGGCGTGAGGAGTTTCATTCCTTCACGCGCTCCGCGGCCTCCTTAACTAGCATCTAGCTGCTTCACAGAGACCAAAGATGGGTACCCAGTTCCTCTCACTTCAGTTCAAGGCCTGAACAAAGACAGGGTGCGAGAGATGGACGATGCACAGCCAAAGCAAATCATTCAGTCACCATGTACCATACCAAGTGGTCCTCGTAAAGTTGACATCCCGCTGAATCGGAACATTGCCTTTAGATAGCTAAGTGCAATTTTTTTTTGGATGATTGTCGGACTCTTACTGACTAAAAAGCCCCCCGTTCCTTCTCCTACTCTTGGCCGAGGCCGCGGTACCTCATTGCGCTTAACCCGTAATCCCGACTAAGCGTTGGCCATGAAGGGCCCCATCTATGGTCGTCTACAAACGACTCGAACCACGCTCACGGTTTTGAGTTACGAGTGCGTTGCCGACCTTTCAGGGATTAGGGATTTGGAGATTAAGGGATTGGGAGGGATTGGGGGAGGGGAAGGATTGGGCCTCCGGTAACCTCACTCATAAAGTCAAAGTCAAAGTCAAAATTATTTATTTCAATTAGACCCATACAGGCACTTTTGAACGTCAACACAACTTTAAAGATACAAAGTGTCAGTCTGTCGGTCAGTCCTCTTAGTGAAGCTATTCGCTCGTTCCAAAGTGTAGATTCCGATGGAGAAGAACGAGCAAGAAACTCCATGGTTACTCTTTTAAAATCAGTGTCACATAAACATTCTTTGATACATTATTTAGTTAGTTTGAATATGTGAGAACAGTGTAACGCGTGTATACAGAGAAACATAAAAAGAAAATAACCTTAAGGACAATAGACAGTCCGGAGCTGACCAGTCCCAATTGACGGCGCCCGTTCACGAGCATGACACGTACACCAGCATC